AAATTAAACTTCTGTTGATGTGTAGTTAAATTAAATTTCTATATATATATATATATCGACCTCATTCGGTGAGTGATGATTTTTTTATATTTGTTGACACCCAATTTGATCGACCTACAACCCTTTCGGAAGTGCTATTCGATTAAAACGTATTTTCAAAACATATTTTGGGTTTAAAATTGTAATCGATTTTGGCTAAAAAATTATATATTTTAGTATGCAATAATTTATAAAAATTATTATTAAATTATTATATTTATCGATAGTTAAACTCAAAATAATTACTTTACTTATTTATTTAAATGTTTTAAAATTTTGGTGTTGTTTTAATTATATGAAAATTTCTTTAATATGTGTAATATTTTATTAATTGAATAACATCTCCTAATCTTCTCTTAAATAATTTAACTCGTAGCCTAATATATCCAATTGTATTTCAATTCTAGTCCTTTCTTATTCAATCTGTTTCAATTCTAGCCACTACAATTCAAATTCTTATTTCAATTATAGCCACTTGTTGATTTCAAATTTAGCCTATTCTTGTCTCAATTTTTTTTCAAGACTCTAATTTGCATTTAATATCAACCATCTATCAAAATTCGAGATCAAATCCTAGTCGTCCATCTTCATCTAATCAATGGCCAGATTGAATCTTCCCCACTTTCCTATTTCAATCTAAAAGACCCAAACCCTTAAAAATTGTTCATTCTTTTCCTACTCTCAAAAGTAGCCGCAATGAGGCCTCTCTCGTCTCCAATAGCTCCGGCGAGTCGCACGAAGTAGCAGGCTCCGAGCAGCAGCCGCCTCCTCCGTTCCCCTCTCCTCTCCCCTTTCCGACTAACGAATTCGGCGCAGCCGCACCCCTCTCTCACGCTCAACCTAACCATGACCGCCGCTCACCCCCACACATCCCCAACCGGTGCTGCAGCAGCAGGTCGCGCCACCATCCCGACCGGTGCACCGCCTCGATCAGCAGCAATAACAACAGGTCACAGCAACAGCGCATAGGCGGCAGCAGCAGCGCGTGGGTAGCAGCAGCAGCAGCGCGTGGGTAGCAGCAGCAGCAAACTCCGACAGCAGCTACAAACAGAGGGAGTATACATCAAAACTCACTGCGGCAGTGACGGATTAAGAGGGTAACTTTATCTTACTTGATTAATTTTAATTCATTCTTCTCCTATCTATTCATGTGGGTCTTTATATCTGCCTATTTATATCTTCAACCTTTGTTGTAAAACCCCAAAAAAATTATCCATTTTTCAAAGTCCCAAACAAAATAACGTTTGGTCAAATTTGAATAAGTACTTAATTTTATTTCAAAACAACCCATGATTTATGATACTGTAAAATACTTGTGTATAAAAGAACAAAAAGAAAGTTGTTGAATCTAAAAGGTACAGGCCTTGCAATTTCTTCTGTACTTTTCTTTCTTGGGTCATAATGTTGACCAAATTAGTGTGAAAATATAGACTGGTCAACGGACAGAGATTGAATTTTGGTGGCTACTTTATACATACATTACCGTAAAGCCAAAAATATTCACTGAAACGCGGCTTTATTTTAGAAAAGTATGTATTCCAATATGACAAACGTTAAAGTTTGAATTCCAAAAAGATATCTATTCATGTGGGTGTTCTTTCATTTTCTATGTTGATGCTTGTTTTCAAATTGGCTCGTATTGCAGTTGACGAATCTCGATGTTGTTGTGTGTTTGTGCCATGTAGTAACTAATAATTATTGAATCTTTTTCTAGTGTTGAAAGGGTTGATTTTGCGGGATAGACAACTGAGGAAGCTCAACATCAAAAAAAGTTGATACAAGCTTCTTTCATCAAAGTAGGAGATAAGGTTTGGTGTTTCTAAATTTCTAAAGTTCAAGTACAATTTCTTTTTATAATGTGTTTGTGTCCATCTAGTATTGATACTTGGTTTAAATTTTGTGATAATTAGTTTGTGTCCATCGAGTGTTTGTAAAGCATAAGTACCAACACTAGTTGATCCTATTGATGACAACTATTGATTTTCTTGCATGATCAATTTGTGTCTATCTAGTGTTGACACTTAGCTTTAAATTTAGAAATATTATATTTGATAACCATAAGTACCAACACTAGTTGATCCTATTGATGACAAAATTGATTTTCTTGGAAGACCGATTTGTGTCCATCTAGTGTTGACACTTAACTTTAATTTAGAAATAATGTGTTTGTTAAGCATAAGTACAACACTAGTTGATCCTATTGATGACAACATTGATTTTCTTGCATGATCAATTTGTGTCTATCTAGTGTTGACACTTAGCTTTAAATTTAGAAATATTATATTTGATAACCATAAGTACCAACACTAGTTGATCCTATTAATGACAAAATTGATTTTCTTGCATGATCAATTTGTGTCTATCTAGTGTTGACACTTAACTTTAAATTTAGAAATATTATATTTGATAACCATAAGTACCAACACTAGTTGATCCTATTAATGACAAAATTGATTTTCTTGGAAGATCGATTTGTGTCCATCTAGTGTTGACACTGAGCTTTAATTTAGGAATAATGTGTTTGTTAAGCATAAGTACCAACACTAGTTGATCCTATTAATGACAAAATTGATTTTCTTGCATGATCAATTTGTGTCTATCTAGTGTTGACACTGAGCTTTAATTTAGGAATAATGTGTTTGTTTAAGCATAAGTACCAACACTAGTTGATCATATTGATGACAAAATTAATTTTCTTGCAAGATCGATTTGTGTCCATCTAGTGTTGACACTTAGCTTTAAATAAGTTAAAATAAAATAATGTGGTTTAGTTGGTGGATTTAGTTATTGGAATTAAGTCAAAATTAAACTAGTTAAAGTTGTTAAGTTGTTCGGTTAAGTTAAAATAAAATAATGTGGTTTAGTTGATGGATTTAGTTGATGGAATTAACGTCAAAACTAAACTATTTAAAGTTGTTAAGTTGTTCGGTTAAGTTAAAATAAAATAATGTGGTTTAGTTGGTGGATTTAGTTATTGGAATTAAGTCAAAACTGAACTAGTGAAAGTTGTTAAGTTGTTTGGTTAAGTTAAAATAAATAATGTGGTTTAGTTAGTGAATTTAGTTGTTGGAATTAAGTCAAAACTGAACTAGTGAAAGTTGTTAAGTTGTTTAAATAAGCTAAGTTAAATAATGTGGTTTTGTTGTTGGATTTAGTTGTTTGAATTAAGTCAAAACTAAATTAGTTAAAGTTAAAAAGTTGTTAAGTTGTTTGGTTAAGTTAAAATAAATAATGTGGTTTAGTTGATGGATTTAGTTGATGGAATTACGTCAAAACTAAACTATTTAAAGTTGTTAAGTTGTTTAAATAAGTTAAAATAAAAAATGTGGTTTAGTTAGTGAATTTAGTTGTTGGAATTAAGTCAAAATTAAATTAGTTAAAGTTGGTAAGTTGTTTAAATAAGTTAAATAAT